AAGGTAATTCTGTACAATAGTATAGCAGAACTTGTATTGATCCTGTAGAAAAAAAAAAACATGAATGATTATAATGATCGATTTATATGCATAGTTTTTATTTAACGTCCGAATTATGTGCCATTGGTCAGGCATAGATCAGCAATATGCCAGCTATTAATAGACCTATTATCAAAATGGCCGCAATCTTGGATTATGAAGAAATTGTGTGATTACCTGAGCAAAAGCGCACATTCTTACATAAAGTAGAACTGAATCTCTCACCCTGCAATCAGTATCTATCTTAGCTGCTTCAACTTTGAAAACATCAAGGTTTCGAGGTTTTTATGATTGAATAGACTTCTGAAGCTTTTTCTGAATGCATTGTGAGATCAGTTCGATAAGTTTCCTGTTTTGTCCCAAACACATCGCACAATGCATTGTGTGCATACGACTTAAAAGCTTCAGACGTCTATTGTAGGCCGCTTACCAAAGTTTCGACTGCTCCTCGTCTGCTTTCACGCACAGACTTGACTGTCTGAAACACGTCCAGTACTTGTTCCTGTTTAACGCGTTCAAGTGTTGAGGCAATGCTACAGAATGTACCACTACGACCTACACCGTTACTAGGAAAGTAATTGAAGATTGTACGTATATTAAAGAAAAAATGATTCTGTATCTTGGGAAGCACCATTCCAGTACGGGTCTTTACAGCTAGTTTTTAACTAAAATCGAGATATCCCGTAGAAAACATTCTCGAAAGCACTGACAAGAGAGAACTTGGGCTGCAGCAGCGACTAAATGAAATTTTCACTGCTCAGCCAGTTATTCTAATAAAGTTAAAGATGGCAAAGATTTCTAGTACGTCCATACATACCTACAGTGGACAAGCACTGGTGATTGTCCAGCAAACCTATGCTGGGATTTTTGGACCTCGTTCAATAGGTTCAAAATACTTTGAGGGCTGGACGGGGTACGTTTATCTTTCCAATCAGTATGCTGTAAGTGAACTACGTCAACGCTTTTCTGCATTTGAACGAAAATTGATATACTATGTTAATAGTAATAGATATATAATAATAATACAGTCAAAAGATATATCTGGCATCGTGTGTAGCTGTGCGTGCAAGCCTGTATGACAAGAATTAGCTTTCCAACAGCATCCCTTCTGGGAGTGTTGCTTAGTAAAAGCTAAGACTGTTTCATTGTGAATTTCAGAAGGCTAATTTGTCTTTTTCAGATCTCCAACTATAATTCTTCCACCTACCGTTGAGTTGATTACTTGGAAAGTGCGCACAGTTACGTCATCAAGATATTCCACTTTGATCTGCTTTACTTTAATGTTATCACATGTCATCATTTCTTTTTCGTTGGGCCAGTATTGATGAAAAGTCTTCAAATGAAAAGTCATCAGTTAAAAGTTTAACTCTGATCAGTTCAAATACTAACATATAAAGCACATTTGTACAATACGTTCCCGTTGGGCCAATTGATAAAAAGTATTGATGAAAAGTCTAAACAACAAATTCATCAGTTAAGAGTTCAATCAGAGTTAATTCTGATCAGTTTAAATACCAAATAAAGCAGATTTGTACAATAATGGTCGTCCATTTGATTGAACGACGACCTGTTATCGACGTGTTCTGCTCACAATATTCCTTGTGTAGCAAAAAAAAAATGATTAACAGCATACATGAAGAAATACCGTGACTATCGGGTGTGAAAACAAGGCTACACACTTAAATCGTATTTGGTATCGTTACCCGAAAGAGGAATGGAAATGATACTACTGGAAACAGACTAGCTGCGCTTCGGAATGTTTATACTTGCTGAATATANTATTCCAAAGTGTGTCAAAAGCACCACAAAACGATTTACCGTGAAGGTAATACTTTCAAAGTCCGTTAGAAGCGAGACTGTTACTGCACATGTCATCCATTGACAGTGTCCCTTTAACTAAAATAGGGATATCCCAGAGAAAACATTCTCGAACCACAAACTGCAGCAGAATGAAATTTGTGCTGCTCAGCCAGTTATTCTAATAAAGTTAAAGGTGGCAAAGGTTTCTAGTACGTCCATACATACCTACAATGGACAAGCACTGGTGATTGTCCAGCAAACCTATGCTGGGATTTTTGGACCTCGTTCAATAGGTTCAAAATACTTTGAGGGTTGGACGGGGCACGTTTATCTTTCCAATCAGTATGCTGTAAGTGAACTACGTCAACGCTTTTCTGCATTTGAACGAAATTACATACATGTCAATTAATAATAAAAGCTTATAGTAAAACAGTCGAAACGTATATCTGTCTATCTTGTGCTATGGGTGGAACCTATATGATAAGAATTAGCTTTCCCAAAACGCACTTTCTTGGAGTGTGCCTTAGTAACAACGAAACCAGTTTCATTATGAATTTCAGAAGACTTATTGTCTTTCAGCTGTTTCTCTCTCCACCTATAATTCTTCCACCTACCGTTGAATCGATTACTTGGAAAGTGCGCACAGTTACTTCATCTAGATATTCTACTTTGATCTGCTTTACTTGAATGTTATCACATGTCATCATTTCTTTCTCGTTGGGCCAATATTGATGAAAAGTCTTCAAATGAAAAGTCATCAGTTAAAAGTTTAACTCTGATCAGTTCAAATACTAATAACAAATAAAACACATTTGTACAATACGCTCCCGTTGAGCCAATTGATGAAAAGTATTGATGAAAAGTCTAAACAACAAATTCATCAGTTAAGAGTTCACTCAAAGTTAACTCTGATCAGTTTAAATACCAAATAAAGCAGATTTGTACAATACGTTCCCGTTGGGCCAATCGATAAAAAGTCTAAACAACAAATTCATCAGTTAAGAGTTCAATCAGAGTTAACTCTGGTCAGTTTAAATACCAAATAAAGCAGATTTGTACAATACTGGTCGTCCATTTGATTGAACGACGACCTGTTATCGACGTGTACAGCTCACAATATTCCTTCTGCAGCAGAACAAAATTGATTAACAGCATACATGAAGAAATACCGCGACTATCAGGTATGAAAACAAGGCTACACACTTAAATCGTATTTGGTCTCGTTACCCGAAAGAGGAATGGAAATGAAACAATGCATACTACTGGAAACAGACTAGCTGCGCTTCAGAATGTTTATACTTGCTGAATATATATATTTTTTTAAGTGACATTCTATCTAGCAATCGTACAGATGCTTCACGAAATTAAAAGTGGAACCTTTTTTACTGTTTACAGAATTGGTGTATGCACTGCAAGACATCGTTTGCAAGATATGGTATTGCGTCCAGCAACCTTGCTCATCATGGTTACACCCATGCAAATGATAAGCTCAACAGCATTCAGATGTGACATACACATCACCACATTTGACTTTTACCTGGTTGTTTTCTTGCAATTTGTTNAATGTCATGTTCCTACCTGAAACTCTTGCATAAAGAAACTTTGATTTGTGCTGTTGTCAAACTTTGAAAGGTTTCTAATTGCAATGTTGAGGTTTTCAACTTGAATTTCTGTGTTTCCACATGCCAGAGCCTCATACACGGCCAAATACACAAATTTGTACTGATCCTTAAAAATGTGAAAAATTGTTGAAATACTGAATATATACAATTTGCAATTGATAACTTGAAGCGGGTTCTCTTTGGAAATTACCCAGCTACAAATCATGACTAAAAGAAGCATGTTTGAGCATACAACAGTAGGTATTCTATTTCAGTGCCCCTGTCCTCAAACCTTAAAAGTTGCTGGAGATCGGATACACTTGTTAGAAGCTCGCTGGTTCTTTACAGTATTGTTTTGGGAAACGAAGAGGGGGGAACAAGAGAATTGCCAAGCCTTGATATCAAGTTCCATCAAAACATTTTTTTGTTGCTGATTTAACGTTTTATGTAATACTTGTGAGTCGGGAGAATGACTATACACCATGATGCTACTCGAGTAATAATTGATTTTACTTACGTCTGTCTGTACCATGTACGGCCTGTTGGCCCTGATTGTCTGAAGGTAATTGTAGATATCCAAACTACTCTGTTCCCTTGCCTGCTGAAGCATTGCATCTATCATGACATAAGCTCCTGTTCTTCCCACACCAGCACTATTTAAAAAGAAATATGTGGAGAAATGTCACTTATTAAACAAAATCCACCAGTAAATGGGAGATTATACATTATTAAGTTGTCTGAAAGTCTTTCTATTTCTGAATACAACCGTTAGCCAATAAAAGCACGTTTACCTGCAGTGAACAACTATCGGACCAGCATCGTCAGCAATATGCATGCGGACTTTTCGTCTGAATGCAAGTATTGCCGAAGCATGTTGTGGRACTCCTTTGTCAGGCCACGCCGTGAAATGAAACTGACGTACGTCAAGGTTTGCTTCATTTTTCTGCAAATTGTATAAAAATACGTTCAGTTAAGGGACTGCGCAATAATTATAAGGGACATTGGTAGCTGACTACATTTAATGGTAGAATGGATTTTGTGTACTCAATATCAGCTAGAGCTAACCTTGTAAAGAGAGAAGGATCGAATGACATAATCTGCAAACACTTCAACCTTTATGGTGCTCACTGTGATGTTGTCATATTGCTGACTAGATTCAGGCCAATACTGGTGACATTTTCTCTAGAAAAATACAGTTAATTCACTACCTGATAGAGTGCAGCATGGACAACTGGCAAGATAGTTAATCTGTTTGTAGTTGTTGTTTTGTTGTTGTTGTAGTTGTTGTTTTGTCTGAGTGCCTCTGGGTCCTTTCTGAGAGACCTCGCTTCTATCGATACGACCCGGGAATATTTGAGTTTGGTTTTTGCTGTTGTTTTGTTGCTCATATGTTCGTGTCGTTTGCGTTCGTTAGAAATTTCTACTTGAAAGACCCAACCTGGACCCAAAAGATCTGACTCTTTGCCTTTTGACTTAGTGCCATTTGGGATTGAATATTCTCCATAAGGAGTGATATTCATGGTATTGCTGTAAAACGCTTCTCAACTAAAAATGTATTACTAACTTTTTCTTGCTTATGTCTCTTGGAGGTGTTAATGATACTTTCGCGGTATGAAGATGTCAGTTAAGATAACTTGAAATGTATCGATCTTACCTTGCCAAGTTCAAATACGTTTGTCAGCATGACAATGGTTGCAGTGTTTTGATCCCAAATCATTCTCCAAAAGTCGTTAGTTGTATCGGGCAGAGGTCCTGATTTGTGTATGAGAAGATCGATGAGTTTTATCGACGACTTAGAAACCTTCGTTTATCATACGCTCTCCATAATAATTTAGTTGCGCTTTTTGTGACTAAAGTAACGTAACTCTTGCACCATGTTTTAAATAATTTCATGGGTATTTCTAACAAGTTGATGTCATCGATGGAAAGATATAGGTATAGAAATTACCTTGTGTTGCAATGTACGTCTTTGGAGAGCCATCATATCCCTTCAGGAAATACAAAATAAATCATTAATCAAAGTGAAGAGTCCTAGCACCACCAACACCCCATGGGGAATGAACTTCTCTTATAATTTTTTGGAANACCACATTTGACTTTTACCTGGTTGTTTTCTTGCAATTTGTTTAACATTACAATGGTTCCAATACCGTGGTCTATCACCAGTTTCCAAAACTCTTCAACCGTTTTACAAGTGGGGGCCTGGGTTACTATGTAGGCGTTTCGTTCTCTGTAAGTCTGAAAAAAGCATTGAAAAGTCACGGAGTCATCTGTCTGTCTGTCTTTGTCATTTAACTTCAATTTGTATTATGTTCCTTACGTCCACATATGTTGCATTGATGTATTCTCCTGTTTTTTCTTTGTTGTTCAATTTGACGCGTCTGTGATCATCTGTAGTATTCAGATAACAGATTCCTTATTCTGGATCAAATGCCATTCATCTTTTATATTACAATTAACAATATCTTACCCATAGGACTTCCTGCCGTACTTGTAACAGCATTCAAACGCTAAGAGGAGAATAAAGAGTTGTTTGACAAACGGTTTTCTTGTCTGCTGTAAATGTCATGTTCATACCTGGAACTCTTGCATAAAGAAACTTTGATTTGTGCTGTTGTCAATCTTTGAAAGGTTTCTTACTGCAATGTTGAGGTTTTCAACTTGAATTTCTGTGTTTCCACATGCCAGAGCCTCATACACGGCCAAATACACAAATTTGTACTGATCCTTAAAAATATGGAGATTTGTTGAAACAGAATATATACAATTTGCAATTGATAACTTAAGGCGGGTTCTCTTTGGAAATTACCCTGGCTACAAATCATGACTAAAAGAAGCATGTTTGAGCATATAACAGTAGGTATTCTATTTCAGTGCCCCTCTCCTCAAACCTTAAAGTTGCTGGAGATCGGATACACTTGTTAGAAGCTGGCTGGTTCTTTACAGTATTGTTTTGGGAAGCGAAGAGGGGGGAACAAGAGAATTGCCAAGCCTTGATATCAAGTTCCATGAAAACATTTTTCTGTTGCTGATTTAACGTTTTATGTAATACTTGTGAGTCAGGAGAATGACTATACACCATGAGGCTACTCGAGTAATAATTGATTTTACTTACGTCTGTCTGTACCATGTACGGCCTGTTGGCCCTGATTGTCTGAAGGTAATTGTAGATATCCAAACTACTCTGTTCCCTTGCCTGCTGAAGCATTGCATCTATCATGACATAAGCTCCTGTTCTTCCCACACCAGCACTATTTAAAAAGAAATATGTGGAGAAATGTCACTCATTAAACAAAATCCACCAGTAAATGGGAGATTATACATATGAAGTTGTCTAAAAGTCTTTCTATTTCTGAATACAACCGTTAGCCAATAAAAGCACGTTTACCTGCAGTGAACAACTATCGGACCAGCATCGTCAGCAATATGCATGCGGACTTTTCGTCTGAATGCAAGTATTGCCGAAGCATGTTGTGGGACTCCTTTGTCAGGCCACGCCGTGAAATGAAACTGGCGAACGTCAAAGTTTGCTTCATTTTTCTGCAAATTATATAAAAATACGTACAGCTAAGGGACTGCGCAATAATTATCAGGGACATTGGTAGCTGACTACATTTATATGGTAGAATGGATTTTGTGTACTCAATATCAGCTAGAGCTCACCTTGAATAGAGAGAAGGATCGAATGACATAATCTGCAAACACTTCAACCTTTATGGTGCTCACTGTGATGTTGCCATATTGCTGACTAGATTCAGGCCAATACTGATGACATTTTCTCTACAAAAATACAATTAATTCACTACCTGATAGAGTGCAGCATGGACAACTGGCAATATATAGTTAATCTGTTTGTAGTTGTTGTTTTGTTGTTGTTGTAGTTGTTGTTTTGTCTGAGTGCCTCTGGGTCCTTTCTGAGCGACCTCGCTTCTATCGATACGACCCGGGAATATTTGAGTTTGGTTTTTGCTGTTGTTTTGTTGCTCATATGTTCGTGTCGTTTGCGTTCGTTTGAAATTTCTACTTGAAAGACCCAACCTGGACCCAAAAGATCTGACTCTTTGCCTTTTGACTTAGTGCCATTTGGGATTGAATATTCTCCATAAGGAGTGATATTCATGGTATTGCTGTAAAACGCTTCTCAACTAAAAATGTATTACTAACTTTTTCTTGCTTATGTCTCTTGGAGGTGTTAATGATACTTTCGCGGTATGAAGATGTCAGTTAAGATAACTTGAAATGTATCGATCTTACCTTGCCAAGTTCAAATACGTTTGTCAGCATGACAATGGTTGCAGTGTTTTGATCCCAAATCATTCTCCAAAAGTCGTTAGTTGTATCGGGCAGAGGTCCTGATTTGTGTATGAGAAGATCGATGAGTTTTATCGACGACTTAGAAACCTTCGTTTATCATACGCTCTCCATAATAATTTAGTTGCGCTTTTTGTGACTAAAGTAACGTAACTCTTGCACCATGTTTTAAATAATTTCATGGGTATTTCTAACAAGTTGATGTCATCGATGGAAAGATATAGGTATAGAAATTACCTTGTGTTGCAATGTACGTCTTTGGAGAGCCATCATATCCCTTCAGGAAATACAAAATAAATCATTAATCAAAGTGAAGAGTCCTAGCACCACCAACACCCCATGGGGAATGAACTTCTCTTATAATTTTTTGGAAGGAGCACATGCAAATTCCGTTATTATGCCATCAAACATGGACAATATGAAGCGATGATAAATGGTATAATGGTATACATGTGACCTCAATGCGACTATGTGATGTGTTTTGAGTACACTGCAAGCCCGAAATAGCCCCGTGGATTTTGTAGGACATCTGCTGGGACAAGGTATTTGATGTTTATGATCTTGCAAGATTCAGTTTTCACCCGGGTTTCATCAGTACGTAATAWAGCTGGAGATATGTATTAGAATCCAACCCAATTACCTATAAAAACACATCATCTTTGGCTTTGTCCTTTATGAATTGTATGGTTGGAGGGAAGCCCTCTTACGTGTTATTAATAAGAGCTCGCACTGTGACGTTATATATATCAAATATGAAAAAAATGTCGGACGAGTACTATGCATGATAGCATGATAATCAAGACAATCATCAGTGGCCGCAGAATTGACTGGCAGCCCTTACCCAACAAACCGAGGATATATCTTTTACAAAATATATGTTTTAGGAAGCAATAAATATTTATTTATTTTGTAAACAAATTCTATGAACGTATTGATTACTTACTTGTACAAATGAAGCGTTAATGTAATCAGAGTCACTTTCATTCTGGTCATTTTGCAACATTGCTGTGTTCATGTAGTCACTTCCATTCTGGTCATTTTGCAACATTGCTGTGTTCATGTAGTCAGAGTCAGTGGATTCAGGTTTTAGAAAAACACGTGTCCTGTCATCTGTATTAAAAAGTACGCTTAGGATAGAATGAAAATAGGATTTCATTGAGCACTAATTATAACTTCATACGAAGCTTCAAGGAAAGAAAACTCATCTTCAACATTTCGAGTTGTGGGAGTTTGGGTGCGCATGCGCGATACCTCCATCCACAATCACTCAATCTCAAAGCCCTCAAATAATGAATAAGTAGTACTTACACGTAAAAATATTTTTGTAACGATTTTTCTTTTTGTTTGATGGCTTTTCTGCTTCAATGCACTGATATTGTGACAATTTAGGAGGCACGCTCTGGTGTGCAGAACAAATTGTGATGAATGTTAAAATACATAACATATAACATAACATAACATAA